CCATGTGCTAAGTGAGAGCATGCTTTCTGATTTATCACTTTCACGGGTTTATCAGGAATCAATTTAATGGCCTTCCCCCAGTTGGCTTGTTAGCTCAATTGGTAGAGCGCTGCACTAGTATCACAAAGGTCAGTGGTTCGAGTCCCGTACAGGCCTGATTTTTTTCAGGTCTGATTTTCGCTATTGCATAAATAGCGCTATCTACAGCGAGGATCGTGCATCATACGAATCAAGAGCTTCTTTAGTTGGTGATCACTTGCTTTATTCTCCTGACTTTAATGTTTGACTCAGGGGTGATACAGTTAGGAGAAATTAGATGCTAGCCAAGGGTTAATAACACTGCATCTCCCTCTTCATCTTTTCCCCCCATACTAGTTACCAGCCCACATATCCATTACGAGAGGATACCAAAGAGTAAATGCTACTGAGACCCTTAGCCAACACATTGGCAACTAAGTACACAACTGTAAAATGGCCTATTTCCAAATAATCTCACTATATTTATCACAGAATGCAATACCAATTCTGCTCACAGTAATCACACCAAAGCCCTAATCAGGCGGATATTTGTCTGATGTGATTTAAGTGACAGGGAACAATAAAGTGAAAAAAATATTTGGCAACAATTCCAAGTTGAAAGATACTAAACAGCTCATTCAGTAGTTTGTACATGTTATTCTTTCTGCCTTCATAAGCTGATTATCTGGTAAAGAAACTAATGGGAGTTTCAAAATAAATAAATCCCCATCAGAGAGAATTGCCCTAGGCTGAAAATTTTTTCTCAAAATTTCTCATTGGCTCTTAAAGCTTTGCTAATAAGCCAAGTGCTCTGATTTTTTAACACCTATGCACCTTTGAAAATATCTTCTGCTATGTCAGTCTCCCAAGCCCTTCAAGAGAACCTCACTAAAGTATGTAGTTTTTTTTGAGGTGCCACTGAACAATTTGAAAAGTTATTTTGGTTTAAGGTTAAGGAATAGACCTTTGCTGGTATCCTTCATTAAAAAAAATTTTTCACATCCTTTTTAAAGCATAACCATGGTGACCATAAACTAGATATCAAAGACTATGGTAATGAAATGTACTATCTGACAAAAATTGTTCCATTTTGGCTTGATTAAATCATAAACCAACTGAGGGGCAACAATTCTAAACAGATTCTGTTTCTTTGGCAAATTAAAAGGGTATCAAATTTGACCACACAAATAAAACCTCTGCACAATTTCAACATTTTTATACTGGTTGCTTCGCAATTTTTCTCTCAAGTTTGCTCATCAGAATTTCATTCTACAAGTTATAAAGTACAGTCTGAGACCATAGTGGGAGATAAATTTGGAAAAACAGAAATCCCTCTCACGGTTTTTAAGTTGGGAGGCAATTTGTAAAGTTTTCATTCCTGTATTCATTTTTTCAATGAAATCACACTCACATAATTAAAAAGGCAGTAGGCTTGTTGCAGGTAAAAATTAAATTCAGGTAAAAAATTTTAACCAAGGTTAAATTTCAATTTCCTTTGTCTCCAAGCCCTAATTATTCACAATTAGGGCTTGGAGACAAAGAGAATTGAAATTCAACTTAAGTTAAAATTTTTTTACCTGAATTTAATTTTTACCTGCAACAGGCTTTTTTTGCTTCCAAAGTTTTGCCAACATTTCATGACTTCACCACATGCCAAGTTTTTTTTATGTCAACACCCTGAATACTGGAAATGCCGACAACCAATAGAAACCCGGAGGTGTTCTGTGGTATCTCAGGAGACCCTCAAACAAATCACAGTTTGTGGGAAACTATGTAACAGTTGCACTTGACAGACATTAGTTCCCTTCCGCTTGTGGGTGATTATTTCTTGCCGGTAAGCATTCTTTTAAAACTTAAAGGCTGCTTATGCACGCAATGGCAGAACTCAGTAATATGGTTGCTGGTAAGAGTGCAAACAGCAAAGATTCTTAAACCACAAGCCCTTATCCATTTCTGTGCGTTATTAAGCTGTTCCTCTTGCACATTTGTCTAATTTCTTGCTCTTACAGTTAGGCTTTGTTTTGACTCCCACCTACAGAATCTTAATTCTTATTTTTCCCTATTCAAAGATCACCGTGTACAACCAAAACCAGAAGATTTCAGGAGACATTTGGGTGATTGAAATTAAAGAGCCAGGATATTTTGCCACAAAATAATCATTTGGAGGGTCACTTATAATGACCTGTTATAATTGGCTTTTCACACTTTGGCAGGCTAAAGAATAAAGTTCTAAAGTACAATTTTGTTTAAAAAAAAATTTGGTTTGTTGAATATTTTACCAAACCTTTTTCTTGGAAACTGTAGTTAAAATAGCAATGCTTTGACTGACATAAAAAAAATTAATTGGTCCTTGAAGGTTTACAGTATCCTTAATTTAATGTTGTGAAAACTGTTATCATCAAGGCAAAATTCAGTTTGACGCTGTCTCAAGAATGTAGCTCCAAATAAGAATTAGTTTGGCCTTTTTCATCCTCTGATTCTCAGTTAGTGAAGAGGAACCCCTAAAAACTTAATCAGTTGACAGAAAATGTGGAAAAAATCATTAATTGAATAACTTACATGATGGAAGTCATGTACTCATAGGAAATACCACTTAGATCTTGGATCTTGAGAGAGTTTTTAAATATTATACCAAACTACATGTGAATTATGACCCAAAGGCTCATCTATCTCTTGTCAAAGTGCCTTTTGATAACCTTGTTTATTTTCTGTCAGTATCAAAATGCTTGAATCTTTTTTGTTCTCAACAGCTTCACTCAACCCTCATGACCAAGACAGAATTTTTCCTAAAAAGTCAATATAATATGAGGCAAACAAAAATGAGAACTATTGGTAGGGCTAGTATTAAGGGTAGATCCCTGGCCCTGGCAAGTTCTCTAAACAAACATGCATAATAAGAATTGTTTGGCAGACAGTAGGGAGAATTGCTAATAATAATGATTGTAATAATCCTTGTGAATGCTTAGTCTAGTTGTCCTCCTGCAATAGAGGACCAGACTGCCAACATCTTGACTTTGTGAACGTGACTTTGAGAACACTGATGCTCAATGCCTTTGCTTGAAATTAATGTAAATCACCAGATAAGTCTCTTGTCTGAGACAAAATGCTGTGTCATACCAAGCAGTGAGATCTTAGGAGGCAGTAAAAGGGTTACTGGATTGTTTGAAGTCCCAATGGTTTAATTGACTCTTAGCTTCTCAGTTACAAACCTTAAGTACGGTTTGGTAGATGTAGAGTCAGATCTGACTCTCTGATCATGAACACTAAGGGTTGGTTATTTAAACAAAGTTTAGTCATTGATCAGCAAAACTGCCTTTCAAACTATTTAATTTCGCTGAATCTCTTATCTGAACATTTATTTTGTGAACAGTGTCAAGAGGGCTAAAAGCTAGCAGTGGATGGACATTTCTTTAAAGAAAAAAATCTCTTATGGAGAATTTTATTTTGTATGGCCCACATGCACTGCTTGCATAAAATCACGGTTAGGGTCAGACCTAGCATAAATAACCAGCCCTAACTATACATATATCCAAGTGCATTCCATGATTTGACTGCAAAACCTCCATAATGGAAAGAGATTCATGTATAATGTGTTGCATATACCATTCGATTAAAATACATTCTGTAAATTGACTGCAAAACTTTAATATTAGAAAGAGTTTCAGATAAAGTTTTGTGCAAGACATGCATTGTGCAGTTAAACTGAAAGTAAACAAGAAGGCTTTCACTTTCACAAATCTTTAAAACTTTTACAGACACTAAATCATTAAAAAAACACTCTTTTGCAATTCAATAGCAACTCCCCCAATTACTTCTCAAGCTACCCTTCACATGGTCCTTTTTTGTAAATTTAACTTATCTTCACTTATCTCCTTACAATCAACTACTGCCAAAAGATTACCCAATGAAAAGTTTCATGTGCTGTACAGTCCTGGACTCTTGGACCCACAGACAAAACATCAAGTCTCAGTTTTTTCTAAGGCTAGTAACACTTTCCACGTGATAAAGTGAACAGTGCAGTATATTTTGTTACACTCATCTGCTGGATTAAGATTTATCCATTCAGCATTAAAAGCAAGCCTTTGAATCGAAGAAGTGGGTCCAGATAATACATTTTTATAATTTACACCTCACTCACAAGCACAGTGCAACCACATTGTTTAAAACTTGCTGTGGGCTTGGAAATTTCATTTATTAAAAGGCCTGTTGCATCTGTATCCTGTTACATGGTGAACCATGCTGATGTGCATGGTTGATAGAATGGGGTTCATTACAGGAGCCCTACATGCACAACATACATTAACAAAAAGAACAAGAGAAAATAGACCTCCGTGGCCCAAACAACCATTACTTCCTCTCTTAAAAAGCAAGAAACAAGTATTGTAGACACCTATATAGAAAGAAGGAACAAAGTTCCCTGCTAACACTTTGCCGGAAATGAACAAAAAACAACTAAGCATTTTGTTCAGCTATCAATCAAAATAGATTATTTATTCTCTTTGAAGCTGATCCACTCACGTGATGTAATTTCACTGCCAACATTCCTTACTAGAAGGATCAGATAACATTTTGCAAAAGCTATCTAAACATTGACCCAATGGTTAAAGTGTCTTGCAGTCAAAAATCCTAAAAGTGTCAACAAATAATTTTAGACTCTACGTTTGCAAAACTTCACCTTATATTATCAGAAGTCTATTTCCAACTTTTCAAACAGATAAACTTTTTAAACACTTCACCTAACTCCAAATGATTTTCAAATTAATCCGCACATGCAGTATCTAAGTTTCAATGCCCGCTGATTCTCACAATTTGAGTGCGATTCTTGAGCTTTCCTGTACATATCACTAGGGTTGCACATTTTATTCAAAACACCTCATTCACTGAGAGAATTTTCACTCTAGGTCAAAACTATTACCAGCTGCTATTACTAACACATTTAATGTAACAATAATATTGCTACTAAGTTTTTCTTCAAAATGACTCACAATCAATATCGATCATTTCCTTCTGTACATGTACATACTATCAAATGGAGTGGAATAGTTTAAGCACTAGCAAAATTTCCCAAAATGTCTTTGCAAAAGAAAACACTTCCATTTCCCTTCACTTCCTTTTTCCTCTCGCATGTGACTTCTTCTGTTGTGCAATTACCATGCATTTATGTGCCTAAATGCACACTTCAGCAGAAAACAATTACTCGGTGTACTGCCAAACACAAGGACTTTGCTTCAAGATAATCTAGAAGGTCTACTAGATGATTTTAGAAGCCACAAGGTAAAATGACTCATATCTGACTTGAAAAGTTACTGTATAAATGAATCTTAAATTAACATTACATTGAATAAAATATAACTTGATACATATCTTTGCCCGTTTAAAGACCAGGGCTTAAAACTATTTTGAAACTGATGAAAAATGACGGGAAGAAAACTAACACTGCTATATTCAGCAAATTAAACACAGCCAAGTAATATATAGTTACTTTCTCTTAAGAAACAATAGACAAGTGAGAACTATTAAGGATGTGGTAAACCTCGAAAGCTGGGAGAGGAAGCGGAGGATTAGCTAAATAAGTGCTCACAATTGGCCGCTGACATATTTTCAAATGGAAACGGAAAGAAATAGTTCATTCTGTTTAGCTATCATCACTATTCCGCCAAAATAAACAATTCCTCTCACTTAAAAGACCTAAACGAGCACCATGATTTGAAGGAAACTCTTTCTCCCTTAGACGTAAATTGTCTGCTGCCTTGACTGACCTTTGTAACACTTCCGATTATGGATAAAATACCACAGGTCCACTTTGCACATACTGTCCATTTTCCACATTTTTATACTGACCTTTAGTACATCTGGCAAAATTTCACATTACTCTGTTCATACAAAAGTTTTATCAAATTATTTCATAACCCTAGAATTCCAAATATTTTAATGCAATAAACTCACATCAAAGCAATGCCAGAAATAAAGAATGCTTCACCGCCTCCAACTCTCTGATAAGCTACCTTACCTTAAAGTTACTTTCATTTAAGGTAATTTTTTGTGTTTTAGAGCTGTTCTTGGAAAATGTCCAGTTAAGACATTAATGCATTGGTAATTCATTCGGAGCATATTCTGTACCATTCAACCACGCAACCACCACGTGAATCCTACTGCACATAACATTAACCTATAATTATATGCCACATGTGTAACATCGCATTATATCAGATTTAAAAGTGCACTACAAATATTTTAATTTGATCACTCTTGAAACAAAACAAAGAACTAAAATAAATAGATCCCCATTGCATTTTCACTAAATCTGGACCATTCTTAGAGTCTTAAGACAGATGCTACTCATCTCTTGTTCCTGTGATCTTGAACAACTATAAAAAACCGATGTTATGAAAGTTTAATGCTTAAACCCATATTTAAGCTCACCAGGAGATATCAAGTGCACCTTCCGCATAATTGGCTATGGTCTACATTTGCCTCAGTGCCGGGGAAAATGGCCAAAACAAATATAGATCACTCGAACAATGCTCAAATAACGTAAATCGTATACAGTCTCAGGCTCAAAAGACGTCGTTCTCTGCTATTTGCGGACATTCATGCAGAAATACCGACAATCAATATTCAATTGATTTTCATCATTGCGTAATATCGAACATTACATTACGATTTTAATACTACATTAACTGCAGCGAATTCAACACCATCGCTGCAGAGCAATATGGCATTGTCTGACACATGAATAAGCTCACTGAACCATTTGATTGAGTTGTTATTTCATTTATTTCCCACTCGTTACGCTTTTACGTCAGGTTTTGTTTTGACACAATGCCTATTCACCAAATCATAACGTATGTTGATCCGAAACAAAATTAAACACATTAAAACACTTAAAGTGGTTTTACCTTTAATTTGGGGTCTCTTGGAAGTAATTTCGTCCAAGTATCCTTGTACTTCGGTCTTTTGGCGAAGTGCAGCGATTTCAAGAGCAGTTTGGTCGAGATCATTGACCGCATTTGGGTTTGCGCCGAATTCCACCAAGATTTCAGCCGCGGTCATGTGTCCATTCAAAGCAGCCAACATCAACGCTGTCCAACCTGTTGTTTCTTGTCTACAATTTGCGTTTGCCCCCTTTTCAAGAAGCAATTTTAGACACGCCTCGTGGCCGTGTTGAGCTGCGTTCATCAGAGGTGTATCAAGACATAGCGGCAGTCCCTCAACCTGCCCATTCACCTGGCTTGCCTCGATCAACAAACCAGCGATTTGTACGTGACCACTTCGAACGGTACAGTCCAAAGCCGTGGAACCGAGCTCATTTCGAGCATATATGTCCGATTTGTTTTGTATTAAAATCCAACAGACCATGTAATGTCCGTAATAGGCGGCTAGCATGAGAGCCGTCCAACCATAAATAGTTCTCGCTTCCAAACTCGCGCCTCGTGACAACAACAAACGCACAACTTTTTCATACCCGTTCGCCGAAGCGGTATGGAGCGCATTCACCCCTTCGTCGTCAGTCGAATCAACGTGAATACCTTTCTCCAAAAGCGCTGAAACTACTGCTAAGTTCCCCTGTTCTGCACTTAGTAAGAGTCTGTTGATCTGGGGATCCATCGCTGTAGTATAAATATTGTAAAATTGTCTTTCATTGAGTATTGCGCCGAAGTGCAGCAGATTTCGGAAAAACGTGAAATCATGACAACCATCTTTTAAAAACAAAAGTTCGCCGCATATAGCTCACTTACAAAGTTTCCATTTTTGCAGAGAGTTACTCGCAAAAGGAAAAGCGTCATCCGAACATTTTTCACCGTAATCACGCCAAGATGTTCGCCTGCCCCGAGAAAAACCACACTCTTGTAATCGTTAATTCACGCAGAGTTTTAATCAGCGAAGTTTGTCATGGTCCGATCAATGACGTCAGTCATTGCTACGTCCGTTTTGTCACGCCAATCGGTTTCCTGTTCTTGATTACTCGACAATTAAATCTAAAGAAATTATTTATAAGTGATCCAAACCAGGCAACGTTAGTCAACTTTCTCTTTTTAGGGTGAGTTTAAAATAAAAATGTAAGCTTTTAACTCTTAATCTTATTAAACTGTCAAAACTATCGATGAGCTTAACGAAAAAAATCGGCCTGATAGAAATCAGGTAGTTTGTCAACTTTGAAATAGAAATAACATCGCCTAAAGGCTACAGGGGTTCTTTATGAAGCACGTGATAGGAATTGTAAGAAAAATGTAAACTTAGATTGCATAATAGTAATGTCAACTCATGACTGACAAAGCAATGAATCAAACCAAAATACACGTGATTGCAAATTTAATTGGTTCTCCTCTCACGCGATCAGGTGTTCGATTCAGTGAATGAGCCCCCTTTTTTTCTCCGCACTCTTTGCATACTTTTCATGCTTTACCCATAGGATATCCATCTTTGGCAAGCCCCCAATCAAAAATCGACCAAAGAGGAATATTTGACACAATTTTTTCTGTAACCAGGAAATTCGAGTTCAACAGTCAATGGCAATACTTCACAATATTGTCTGAAACACGACAAAATATAGTGGAAACGCAAGAAGGCACTGTCACATATACAGGAATACCTGCACTTTCAAGTCCTAGTTTGAAAGGTCAAAATGTTAAGGGAAAATCACGTACCTGACCTTTTGCAAAGGATTTAAAAGTTTACGTAAGAAAACATAAATAATCATAATAATAATTAATGAGAAGAAATAAAAACTAGAGAGAAGGCCAGGTGGTAAACCGCATGAACCTCTTCTACACTGTACAGGAATACCTGTACTGTCATATCCTCGTTTGAAAAGTCAAATTGTATATGGAAAATCACGCACCTGACCTCTCGCAAGAGATTTTAAAGGTTGGTGTTAAAGAAAAATATAAAAGAATGTCAGGTGACAAAAGCACATGACAAAATCGGCTATTGTAAGGGGCGTGGTGTCAGGAGGGATTCTGGTGGTGTCCATGTATATGTACACACGTGCTCACCCTAAGAATTCTTCATAAAATGATATTTGTAAGTATTTATCAATCATGCTGGATAGAGGCTATTTGCATAAATTCTTTGTGAAAGCGTCTTCAATCATAACATCCGTCGGTTTGACAAAAATTATTTTTACTCGTTGTTTACGGAATAGACAGTAAAATAAAAAATAAAAAAAACTAAACTACAGTAGTGACACATCGCACGCGCGACCATTCCCATATTGAAGTCACCGGATGGAATAAGAGAAAGAAAGGCCGCGTATAGATTATACAGATAAAAACTCCCAGTTTTACCTAGAAATATGTGTGACTCACCGGCTTTAGAACTGCTGACTTGTTCTGTGTCAACCTGTGCTACTAAACGTAACTACAGAGGCACGAACGAATCGATAACCCTTCTTCGCAGCGCTAAGTGAGGGGTGAGGTCATAGCTGGTAATGGATAGACACGAGCAGCTACCTTGCGATAGTATCGACAATGTCACGATAGCCTCGATTTCCGATGTCTTGTAGAATCTGACTTTCGATTCTTCCGAGAAGGAGCGAGTCTCTTCCGGAAGGCGCGTGGGCTCATTTCCAAACAGCGGCTAGTAAACGATTATATCACGGTGGTATTAGAATTCCCTCTTACTCGTCCCAATCGTCTTCACGCGCTGCACAGGATTTACACGGTGAAGGAGAAAGGTTGAGGCTATGCTTAAGGCTGTTTTTAGTACAATTATGTCAGATTATGACAAATCAGTAGCAATCAAAATTACGTTAAACTTTAAGTTTTGCTTCAACCATACAGTCGCTGTAGGCCCACCCCGGAATAGCACTCTCTGGTACATGCGCTACAGCTACAGATGAAAGAGGAAGATGTCCTGGAAGATGATGAGCTATTTTTTTCTCCCAGCTCTCTTGTCAGCGAGTTGGTTATTCCTGTGATTCTCAGCCTTATGAAACCAGTCCTTACCGTGGATCTCTGAGATTCGCGGCTATTTGCAGTACTTCCTCAGATATTGGAAAACCAGAACACAAAGACAGTCAGAAAACAATGTTGCATCGAGCGCACATTTTAAAATGTCTTTGAAATTATCATTAACGTGACCCGAGCGACCTAAGCGTTCTTTTATTGGAAAAAAATATTGAAAAAAAAGACAAACAGAGGGTCCCCCATACCTCTTTGTAAAACACAGTCACTTAGGAATATTTGGCCTTTTCACGCATCCCTAATAAGGTCTATAATTCTTTCACTTTAACATGAAGTTTGAGACGATCACGTCCACATAAAACTCAAATAAATGTTAAAAAACCAAATTCACAAATTAGCAGATTTACTTTTTCTATATCAACTAAGTTGAAATTGTAAATTGGCCACCGTAACGAATAAAAATGCTGACGTTTCGAGCGTTACTTATTTGTCAGAGCGAACGGAGGAATAGTGGGTTGTATGTGGGTTTATATGCAGAAAGAGGAGCTACGCCATTGGTGGGAACATGGCGACGAGAAAAACACGAATAAATTAGTGGAATAAAAAGCGTTCGTTGATACCTGTGGGATTAAGAGTGCCGATTTGAAAGATAAACATTTGTTCATGAGTTTTGCGGCTTTCCGTGTTGCCTAAATGTAAGGAAAGACCGCAGATTGCCCGTATGTTGTTTAGAATGATTAGGTAAATTAAAGTGTCTAGCGACTGGTTTTGATGCGTCTTTGTCATTCCTTTCTACGTTGCGAAGGTGTTTTCGGAATCGGTCACCTAGTCGTCTGTTTCGCCGATGTACAACTTTTAATTTTGCAATAAGTGCAAGTTATGCAATAGATTACGTTGGCGGAGGTGTACTTTTTCTAGTCTTGATCAGTCTTCAGTGACAAAAGATGACGTAATCTTTTCTTATTTGTTGAAATGTTTTATAACTTTTATCGATCCACTGATAGAGTCCATGTCCTGTCAAAATCCTGGCCAAAACCGGTTCACCCGTTCGAGAACAATACGTAAATTTTCAAAACCACAAAAAACGGGAATTAATGAAGCAAACCAAAATAGTTCTCGAATCACGTTTAATTCAGCTCTTCATTCACGAGTCACGTTAAGAAAATAAAAAATTAGTTCACGTGGACATGAAAAGATCTTATCGTCTTTAAACACTATTTACGAATAAAAACAAAACAAATCACGATTCATAAGAAAACGTGAAAAAAGTATAGGGGACCCTGCAAGCAATACGGACGAAATGTAAGCAGAAAGGAGAAAAGAAGAAAGGGGAAAGGCGGTAGTCATATGATAAAATGTTTATATTGATTGAGTTAGGATGGGCCGAACGAGGAGATATTTGGCTCACGGTCACGAGGTAAGAATCATACAAATGCCCTTGGGCCAAATATTCTCCCGTTCAGCTTTCCCACTCAGTCAGTAAACCAGAGCAGACAAATTGATGCATTGAACGGATAACACTTCTATTGGAAACATAACACTGCGAGCTTTCTATTGTTCAACTGTGCAGTAAAATTGATCTTCACCGTCTTGAAAGAAAACCGAAAAACGCGAAATTTGACTGGAAAAATTTGAAAAGGGATGACAGAGTATTTCCTTTCCAAATGGAAAGACTTTCTTTTGTTATTGTAGAGCTTCAAGACGAGCGCTGCTGCGCCTGCGGTACTCGCCTGCGGTAAGATTTGAAACGAGTCGGGGAGAGTTGCCAGGGGGTCTGGCACTAATAAGGTAAGACTTAGTACTAGACTCGTACCCAGACCTTTCATGATCAAGCGGTGGTCTCTCACTGCACTGGCTTGCGTTGTTCGAGATTCGAGAACGAAGAAGCGCTCGTGCCGAAGCGCTAATAATGAGAGCGCCCGCTTAATCTCGTACCCAGATCTTGGCCGTGAATTTTCGTCGATTATCTTAACAATATCCACCCCACCATCAAATTCACCAGCTCACACTCTTCCACTAATGTGACTTTCCTTGACGTAAGTGTCTCTTTAACCACCGACGGTAATACCTCCGCTGACCTCTACACCAAACCCACAGACAAACATATGTATCTATTGTACTCTTCTTGCCATCCATTAAATACCAAAAAAGCCATTCCGTTCAGTCTAGCACTCCGCCTTCGACGTATCTGTTCTACAGATAAAGCTTTTGAGATTCGCGCCGCTCAACTTACCTCATACCTTCTCAAACGAGGTTACGGCCATAAATTCGTCACCAAACAAATACAACGCGCCGCTGACATCTCCCGCACACTCACCTTACAAACTAAAGACGTAAAAAAACCTAACCGTATTCCATTTATAACTACTTTTAATCCGTCGCTTCCTCACATCTCCAACATCATCAAAATACACTGGCATTTACTGCAGTCTTCTAACCGCTGCAAAAAAGCTTTTCCTCAGCTGCCAGTTGTCGCCTTCAGACGCTCCCCCAACCCTCTCGACACATTAGTAACAGCCAAACTTCCCTCTAATTCTACCACTTCCCATCCTCAACTCCCCCCCGGCTCTTTCCGTTGTGGTAGAAACTGCGCTACTTACCCCTACATCTCTGACGGTCTTACTAACTATACCTTTTTTTCTACCGGCGAAACACGTCCCATTAAATCTCACTTGACCTGTGACACTAAAAACCTTATCTACTTAATTCAGTGTAACCTACAATACATAGGAGAAACTAAACGACATTTAAAAGACCGTTTTAATGAACACCGCCGTACCATTGATAAACCCAACTCTAAATCTAAACCTACTACAGCGGCAGAACACTTCATTTCCTCTCCTAACCACTCTGCTCACGACATGGAGCTAATCGCCATCGAAAAAGTGTTTTCCAAGAGAGACTCGATACGCAAGGCCAGGGAAGCTTTCTTAATTTCAAGAGGCAACACTATTTATCCAGATGGCCTCAACGCTCGCGAAGAAATGTATTAGTTTCTAGTTATTTATCCAATTTACCTTACTTCATTTCTATTTTTGCTCACTATTTCTATTTTTATTGTTATCTCATTGTCAATCAAATTAGTTTTACATATTTCCGCTGCTACATCATACAGCTATCTATTAAGCATCACCCCAATTCTCTGTTAATTCCCACTGCACCTGAAGAAGGCTGGTTTGGCCAGCCGAAATATAGTGCTCCGTCTTAAAATTTACTTATCTACGTTGTATCGGTGTTGCCTCTATATTTATATTTCATATTCGTTATTTTGGGGCCGGTCAGATCATCGCTGATCCAACGTACAAGAGTAGGAGTATCGTCCACGGTTTCCTGCTGAACATTTCACACCTTAATTAGAATCCCCCATCTTTCTAAGGGGTAGTTTTCTTCCAAGAGCTCCTTCAACTGCTCCCCTCGTCTCTGCTGTTAACAGGTTACTATAAATAAAATTCCGCAAGGTGCAACATTTTATAGGACCAAATGTCTCAAGATGCAAGCAACAAAACCTGAGTTTACTGCGAACAGTGTTCAGTTGCGCAAATAGGCATAAATACATTGTGCTCGGCAACTTTTGAGCAACTTTTAGCGTCTTCAGCAACTTTTTGTATTTCGAGCCACGGTCAGCAACCTAGA